TAGGGCTAAAGTAAATTTTTCCTCAAGTTAAAAATAGCTCTGCTGAACTTTAAAAAATAATGGAGGGGCCAAAAAAAAATTCCCTTGTATAATATATAAGAGGTTGAGTCCCTGCAAAAACAAAAAGGAAAAAGTTCTATTGGGCATGGAGCTCAAAAACAAACTTTTTGAATGTGGGGAAAAAATATTGGCTTTTTCTCTCTTTCTCTCGCAAACACACGGCATGAGGTGTTGATCTTCTTGGTCAAAGAGAAGAAATGAAAAAGTTGTCTACTCAGTCAAAGAGAAGAAATGAAAGGATAGTGGGTAGCTGGGTTTTTTCTTCTTTTGAGGTGCAGAGATTGATGGACAAAGATTAAAATATTAAAAAAAAGACAAGGGAACAACTTCTGTTTGAAGAATAGATTTTTTCAAAAAATGTAAGAACTTGGGAAGCGAAACTGTGGTGGAAGAGCCAAAACTCTCTTTTCTCTATCGGATAAGAGTGAAACTAGCAGGGAACAGATCTTTAATTGCTCTGAGACCAGTGCACGAAATAGAGAATAAGAAAGAAAATGATGGGATTTCTTTTGTGCGGGCTTCGGTGATAGAATGGGGTTTTTTCTCTGTATATATCTTCTCAAGAGAAGACTACACTATTTATAGAGACTATTCATCCTCTCCACCCCCTCAATTACTGCCTCTTGAGAGAGATTCTCTCAACAACTCACTTTCCCACAATTCTTTCAACTAAGAATAGTTGATTTGGTCACACAAGACCAAGTCAAAATAACAAATCAATTGTGCTATATGTCTAATGTTGACTTTCAATCCCGTGTCCTCTTTTATCACACATCTTTATTTTGAAATTCCTTATAATGAGATCTAATCTGAATTTTCTCTCTCAATTCCAAAGGGTGTCAGAGGACTAGATTCTCTTAATGAAATCTAATTATATCCTTGCATAGCACTTCATTTGTCACCTGACTTTCGTAGTTAGGAATATCAACAATCAAGTGTGTTTTTTGACTGAAAACGATTATATATAATTCTTGCACATGTGAGATCGAGACATCCTTTATTTCTTTCTTTAGCTCAAGAGTTCTAGAAGAAAAGGTGGATTTAAATCATGAAGAAGCCTAGTTTTAGAATAGGACATAAGACCTTTTAGAAAGTGGCAGGGGTTTCTCTCTATGGTTTAAAGAAGAAGAAGAAGAAGAAACACTGTGCAATACAAGTAGAGACCTTCTCAAAGAGGGTAAGAGATAAAAAAAGGGCATAAAAATTATAATTGAAATGTCTCATAGTTCAGGTGGACTAAGGTCTTGTATTTTTTTATCTTCTTAAGTGGCGAAATATTTTTCCCCCTGCACATATATTATAATTTTCTTACTGTTAAGAAATATATTATGGAGATATATAATATTATAGTTATACTAGGAATAATATATTAGGAGTATAGATTAGAGGTTTGATGATTAAGAGATATTAGAAATGTAACTAAAAGAATAATTGTGATTAGGTAATTGTGTTTAGTCCCACATTGACTACACAATAAACTTCTTATTATTGTAACTCTATATAAAAGGGAGTAGTTATAGCTTTTAAAATATGAATGAGAATATACAATATTTTATTGTTTAACATGCTATCAGAACCACACGAACCCTAATCTCTACAAAACCCTAGCTCCTCACAAACCCTAGCCCCCCAATCCCTCACCATCAAACTCCTCCCTCTGCCTTACAACTTCCCTTCTTTCATGTGATTGTTCACTGTAAACAGTTCCGTGGTGACTATACACCGTGAAAAAATGTCGTGGTGACTGTTCATCGTGAACAGTGCTGAGGATTCTTGTCCATCCTGCTTTCGATGACCTTGTTGATGATCAGAATTACCATTATTGGTAGAAATAGTCATCCTCGATGTATATGTTCTCGTTACAGTCTGTGCCTCCTCGATTTCCCGTCGTTCACTGCCTACTCAACTTGTTGACACCAACGGCACCACTGCTTGTATTCTAGAAATCTTGACCACCATTAGCTACCGAGAAAAAGAAATTTTTTGATTGAATTAGGATTTCGTTTGGAGTTTGGTTCAATGAAGGTTATTCTCTCGGATTCATTTGTTTGGTTGATCCATAAAGAGGGATCATTTGTTTGACAGATCCCTAAAAAGGATCGTTTGTTTGGTTGATCCCTCGAGAGGATTATTTATTTGGTTGATCCCTCGAGAGGATTATTTATTTGGTTGATCCGTGAAAAAGATCGTTTGTTTGATTAATCCCTAGAGAGAATCGTTTGTTTTGTTGATCCTTGAAGAGGATCGTTTGTTTGAATGCTCCGTGAAGAAAATCATTTGTTTGGTTAATTCATGAAAAGAATCGCTTATTTGGTTGATCCGTGAAGAGGATCGTTTGTTTGGTGGATCCCTAAAGAGGATCGTTTGCTTGGTGGATCCCTAAAGAGGATCGTTTGCCTGGTAGCTCTCTCGTGAGGATCGTTTGTTTTGTAGTTCCCTAATCGATCTGTGAAGAAGATCGATGTATCATATTTGGTGATTTTGGTTGAGGTTATTCGTGGTGGAAGACATTCAAGTAGAAGACTAGAAGATGAAGACAACTATGATGAGAAAGGCCACACGGAAGATTTTAGCCTTTTAAGTCGTGTCACAAATTAGAGTGAGTACATCTTGTTTGTAACAAGCCAGACATGTATGATATACATGCTCCAACTTGAGGGGAAGTATTAAGAAATATATTGTGAAAATCTATAATGTCACTCATAGGTATATTATGAATTATATATTATGAGTATAAATTAGAAATTTGGTGACTAAAAGATATTAGGAATGTAACTAAGGAAATAACTATGATTAGATAATTATGTTTAGTCCTACATTGACTACTCAATAAACTTCTTGTTACTGTATCCCTATATAAAGGGGAGCAGTTGTAACTTTTGAAATATGAATGAGAATCTACAATATTTTATTGTTTAACACTTTCTAAGTGAAATCTCTATGTTCCCCTCTGGATGTAGATAATCAAATCTTCTCAACTTCTTGGGTATTCACTCCCTTGCATAGGATGATTTTCAGATCTTGGCTCCATGAAGAAAGATGCCATAAAGGCTATCCTCTAAAGGTTATAATATTTCAGAGTGTTTCAACGCCACAAGCTATCACTAAACGTTTCTTGTTGATTTTATCGCTAGACACTTGGATAATTTTTGAGGTGGCTAATAGTTTTTTGAGGGAGGTGACTAATATTTCTCTTGCTTCTGCTGGCTTGGTTGCCTTTTCTTGCCCGTACTTTTCTCATCCCAATTTCAAAGGTACTAACTACCAACATTAACAGACTTTTTTCACCAAACAATTCATGTTACTGTGTAACTGCCATGTACCTCGCCATCTGTTCTCCTGGTTACCAAATTACTGAGACTGTGAAATAACTTTTTATATGGGTTGAACGCAGATCAGTTCATCTACAAATCCTACAGGAGTATTTACACTCCAGTTAAATAGGTGGACGGTTGGGATCTTGGCTCTCCAAACTAAGATTTCTACACATCGAATCAGGCCCCATTGTCACTTTCAAATGCAGGGATACTTTGAGGCTGTGTTATGCGTAACTATATTCACCGGGAGTTCCAAGATTCCAATATAAAGTGTGTTACAAGCCGAAGTTCAGTGACTGTGATTCCCAATGCTTGGTCATAGAAAAGGACATGTATCTTATGGTCCCTCTTGTGCAATATATTGTCAGAATGAGCTCCACATTTCCATTGTGTTTAACAAAAAGCCATCATATTCTATCCTTGCCCTTGCAGCATGTCTCGTAAGTGTTATTTTGCTCCTCCTGCACGTCTCCATTTGCCCCACTAGTGGAGGTGGAGAGGGGGCTGCAGAGGGGTGACTAAATTTAGGGTTTTGAAGCAA